ACCAACATATTGCAAAAAAACTTTCGCGGGAATAATTAATTCTATTTTTTAAAATTTTATGTGGATTAAGTAAAAAAAATTTGGTTAATCAAAAGAGCGGTGTTAAAATGGGTGGTTCGTTTAAAACATACACAAACAATGGGAAACACGACGAAATATCTCATTTAAGATATAGAAATGCTTTGGAAATAGAAAGATCTAATCATACAAGCGAATTAGCAAAAAAAGCAGAAAAATTGAGGTTAATTTATAAAACTAGATTTGAAGAGGATTTACGTGCATTTATGGTTTCTCACAAAGCTCATGATGCATGCTTGAATTCACATGCGTTTAAATGTATTAACCCCAAGCCTTTGAGAACAGGTAGTATTTGTTCACATAAATTTAGAATCACTTCAAAGCTTTCACACAATAATTCAGAGGTTCAAAATTCATCCTTTATCCCAACTTGGGCATGGCCAGCATCATTGAGAAATAATGAAGATTTAAAGTTGATATCTTTATTTTACACTGCAGAGACTAATGTACCATTATCACCGTCTCAAGTTGGTGGCAAGTGCAATAATAAGGAAACTCAAATTTGCAACCCTATTAAACAAAACACTTCCAACGACAAAAAGAATTTGCTTAAAGCTCTTAAAATATCTAAGAAAGATGAACAAGAGAAATTAAATAATCAAAATATATTTGAGCCAAATAATTTAAAACAAAATCAAAGACAAAGACTTCGTTCAAAATATGGTGCTCCTTTTACTTGGGCTCAAAATAAATCAAGAGATAAAACAGAAGTAATTTCATCTCCACTTGAAGGTTCTTCAGACATTTCAACGCCTCAATCTCAAGTGTTTACTGAAATTCCGAAACAGCCAAGCATTTATCCACTAGAATTGGAACGCAATATCGACTCACATAATTTGGGTATTTCTGAGTTTATTAAGAAATCACTTAAAATGCAAAAAACTTTAGAATTGTTACTTGAACATAACACAGAAAATAATATTAAAAAAACATAATTGGTATAAAAATCAGTTGAGATGTTATACCAGGCTATTTATTGATGGATAGAACTATCTATCTTTTAATTAGTTGTACAACATGAATTATATCGGCATAATTTTCTTTAATATGTGGCACGATTTCACTATGGGGTGTAATAAATAAAACTTGCCTATTAAAAGTTATTTTTCCTTTTGAGCACAAACGTTCGAATTCTATTAATGACCGAATCATCGTCATTCTCCGGATGTCATCCATATATACGTCTGGTTCATCAAAGAGGTGGAACGGTGAAGAGTTGTTTTGGGATAACGCTAATAGAAGCGATATACCAATACTACTACTCTCTCCACCACTTAGAGATTGAATTTCCCTACTCACAAAATTGTTGAGTTGATCTTTGCAGGATGTAGAATTTCTTTCAGAAGATAAATGGCTTTCAGTCTGTTTAGGTTTTTTCACAGTAGCAGTATCAGGAATAACATAGATACTCAAGATCGACTTGTCATGGTCGAACTTGAGATGAGGGCGCATTGTTTTTGACCAAAAAATAGAAAAGTAATGCTTGAATTGTAAATTTACATTTTTTCCGCAGCGAATATGATCTTTTTGTAACCGTTGGATCCTTCTATTTAGATTCGTTCTGTTCTGATTTAAAAGCTTGTTTTCTTCTTGTAATTCATTTATTTTCTCCTTGTATTTTTCATACTTTATATTTATAGTGTCCAGTATTTTGTTAATTAAGTCTTCTGAACAATTTCTCTGGGTAACATTGAACCCGAAAATTTTTGATTTTTCCATAATTTCTAAAAAAATAGTATCCATTTGTCTAGATATGTTTGATTTCCAAAGTTCTATAGTTGAACAATCTGGAAAGGGTTCAATATCTCCTGACAAATTTAAACAACAATTAAAGTATTCGAGTGTAGACAATAGATCATTGGTAATCAGGAAGTCAGTTCCAATTTCAGATTCATTAGCAGCGCAAAATTTGGTATTAATCGTTCGATATTTATTTTTCAAGCCTTTCAACTCATTTTTTTTAAAATCAATTTCAGTATTTAACTGATTTATTTTGTTAGTTATCTGATTTATTTTTACTTCGATTTGGGGTTTTTCGTTAAGTAAAGAATTTTTATTAATTTTCAAAATTTTATGTTTCTGTTCTTTTAACTTGATAAACTCCTTTTCATTATCGAGGATAATTTTTAATTTTTCTATATCGGCTTCTTTATTTTTCATTAATTTTTCCTCATAACTAATTTTTTCTTCAATTACAGTAAGAAGTTGATTAAGTTCACTTAACTTCGTAGATAAATGATTAATCTCAGAAATATTTACATTGAAAATGTGTTTTTCATCCCTATCAAGTTTCCGAAGCTCTGTTTCTAACTCTACAATTTTCATGTTAATTATTTGCTCTTCTTTAGTAATATCTTCCAATTCAGTCTCAAAGCTAGATATTTCATTACGAATATAGGAGGCTTTATTATCATGATTTGTTATTGAAAGTTTTAAATCATTATTTTTTTCCTCGATTTCTATAATTTTTTTAATAATTTCCTTCTTTTTATTCTCATTCTCTATTATATTCAATTCTAATAGTCGTTTTATTTCGATTTTTTCTGGAAAGTTAAATTTTTTTTTTTCTTTTTGATCAGCACATAAATCAGATCCATAATTTCTTAATTGAAAAATATCATTTAATTTCCTAATGACGATTTTTGATGTTGCATGTTGCTTAGGGATACAAATTTCTGGGGCAACTACTATTCCACCTCTTCGATATTTAAATGAATAATTAGCTAGACAATGTGCCCTTCTAATATTAAGACTGTAATCATATATCAAATCCATTTCGTGGTCATTCATGAAGATAAAAGTTGTTTCTATTTGGAAGTTATCTATTAGAAAATTAAAAACTTCATCATTTTCAACGTGTATTAAATCAATTACGGCTAATCCTACTTTTGGGAATTTTTTACGAACAGCAGATAGTTCATATTTTTGATTGAATGAAGACCTTATATAAATTAATGAAGGTTCTAAGAAAACATTGTTATTTTTAAACAATGAAATCAATTCTTTCCTTGTTTCTGAATTTTCAACTAGCCAATATTTATAATTTCTCCTAATTTTGTAGCCAGATATAGTATCATACCTCTCGAACCTTCCACCTATAATTTCATCAAGTATACTTAATATTTTTTCATTATAATAGAATTCAGATTTGGGAAAAATATGGAGAGCAATTGGACCAATTATTTTCACCCCTTTTTCAATTTTTTCGAGTTGTTTAATAATTTTATTATGTACAAATTTTGAATAACCAAATATAATTTCGAAATCCTCGTCTGTAAAGTAATCATACAATCTTGAATATATAACTGCCAAACTTTCTTTACCTTTGGAGTCGTTAATCTTGGAGTTATGATATGCAATATATCCTGTTTCTGTAGAATTAGATTTATTTGATTGCTCTAAATCAGAATCATATTTAAGAGATTTCCTATCTGTTTCCAAAATATTCTTGATTTCATCTAACTTGAGATTAAATGATAGCTTCTCATCAGAAAATAAATTAATTTTGGCCTTATTTTCTTTAATTTGTTCAAATAATGTTGTTAGTTCATTTTTTTTATTTAGTGAGAGTAAAATTAAATTTTCTTTTTTAGACTTCAGAATATTAATTTTTTCTTTTGAAGCTTTAATTTTCTCTAATAATTCTCCTTTAAAATGCAATTTTTTTTTTTCTTGATTCGAGTCATAATTCTCTTGTTTAAATTCAACTTCTTTTTCTAAGCTTGAAATTTCGCCTTTTATTTCTTTAATTTGTTTAGTATATGAATTAAATTTATCACATATTTGTTCCAGTTCAATTGTTAGCCTTTTATGCTTATTAATATTGACCTCATGTTCTGAATGAAAATTATTTATTTCAGATTGAGAATCATAGATTTCTCTTTCACTTTCGATTATTCTTTTATTTAACTCCTCAATATCTAATGCTGACTTGGCTTTATAAAGCTCTTCAGACTGAAAAAGAAGAGAATTGATTGATAAGCTCAAATTTTTTATGGATGCCACAATATTTATACTTTCAAGATTTCTCCGATGTATTTGCAATTTATTATATGTCTGAATTAGTTCTTTCATACTATTAAATTCTTCCAGTTCACTTTCCAATTGTTTCAAGTCATTATTTAATGATTTGGAAATAATTTCTGCTTTTTCAATGCGACGTTGTTCTTCAGCCAAATGTTTCCATGAGTAATCAAATAAATGCGCTCTTTGGAAAAAATCGTATAAAGATTTTGGTGAGTTTTGCTCACGAATAAGATATTTTGCATCCATTTGTGTTAAAAACGTTACAGGGTTATTAATGATTATGTTTGCATAGGCACGAAATTGAGACAAGTGGTGTTTTGCATTGAAAGATCTGTGAATTGGAGAACTAGATTTAGAGCCTCTAAAAGTATAATTCGAATTACCCTTCAAATAAATATTGCGTTCAATGATTATTTCTTCCCCATAAATATCATTAAAATATCCTCTTTGGAATTTGTTATCATTATTTGCAAAGTGTATGCAGACAGTACCCTTATTTGCACCTATTCTAACATATTTATTCAAATTTGCGTCCTTACCAGCCTTTCTACCGCTCCAGCCACATAACAGAGCAATTGCAGAAACTAAGCTGCTTTTGCCACTTCCATTTCCGCCTGTTATTAAATTAACCCCAGGAAGTAGACTAATATCAATAAATTCGTGCCCTCCTATGTCATTTATTATTACTCTCTTGATTTGACCGACTCTCCAACCTTTCTCACAAAGGTTATTCCGCTGCAATAAGATATTACAATCTAATTCTTCAGTAAGCATTTAGCCACATTTTAAATTAGTAGCTCAACAATTTTAAATAATTTAAAAACTTCCGTTTCCCCTCTCACTAAACTGATCTGCTTCCTTTAAATTACCTAAATGTGGGCCGGGGCCAAAAAAAGTGCACCCACGCGGGATCGAACCGCGGACCTTACGGTTATTAGCCGTATGCTCTAACCAGCTGAGCTATGGGTGCCGGACGGTTAGTGAGTCAATCTTCAGATCCATAACAATATAGATTAATTTTAAATATTGAGATGTTATCCTAAGCTAATCTAGCTAGTTACTTAAATTATGATAATATTTTCATAATAATGAACAAATAGGTTTAAATATCCAATTTCACGCAAATATAAGAAGTAGATCTATTCGGTACCCAATAATTTAATGAGAATGAGTAATCAAAGAATATTGTTTATAATATATACATGCAAAGCAACTATTAATATAAATACTAATTGGGCGGCGGTCGGTGGTTAGACAAGACATCTCCGGGATCTACTTTATATGGTAGGTTTTTACACTTAATGTAGGTACCGCTATAATTTTTCAATTAATAAGCAAGTTGTCTTCCAAATGAAATATGAAGTTTGCAGACAAGATTGAGTCACTTGAATCAACAAAATGGGGCGGAAGATTTATTAATTATCGCAGCCTTATACAAACTTTAAACCAATGCCACTCGAATTTGTTGAATTCAATTGGGAAAGAATCTAATTTAGCTGCGTTAAAAGAACAAGCAAATCACATCGATGTTTCTTATAGGCCACTTAATAAAGATGTATCTGATCACTTTGTTTCGAAGTTAGAGCAGTTTCATCTATCATTAAGACATAATATAGATGTTGTCATATTGAGTTATAATAAGATATTAAAAGATAATAGTGATCATCTAGAATGTATTTCTACTTTACTTGATGATAAATCAGCGCAAATAGGCTCTAAACTGCATTTGCCAAACCTGATTTTGGATATTTGGAAAACATTTGATGATTTACAGGAATATGCTCTAGTAAATAAACTAGCTGTTTTGAAACTTTTGATGAGACGCGATGAATTATTTGATTTTTATTTAGAAAATTTACCAAGCAGTGAATCATTCACCTCTTGCTTTGATAAGCTTGAAGATGGTTCAGTTTCGCGAGAGAAATTAATTGAATTATTTTCTAGATCAAAGGATCTCTTAGAAAATTCACCTAATTATGATTCAACTAAGTATAACTCTCAGAAAGATCAATCAAGTACAAATATTGTTTTTAATAAGATTAAAACTCAGGGATTCGATACCTTATATAAATCTTCAGTTTTTGAGCTTGAAGCACTGATGGAATATGGGTTGAAGTCAGGAAAAACGATCGGTAAATCATTATTTAATCCAGATTTTAAAATGTCATTTTTAATGGGCATTTGTGTTGTCCTGCTTGTTAATCTATTTGTTATATGCCGTCTTCCGGTGGTGAATAGCGAGTACAGCATACAAGGAACACTGGCGATATTTCCGTTGTTCAGACTTGTATTGATGGGTATTTTCGTATTATGGGGTTCTGGTATTTCCATTTGCATCATGGAGTATTATGGCGTGAATTATAAATATATGATTGGAATGGATCCTAACAGCAGAGTTGCTGCGACTACGATATTCTCTTTTGCCGCATTACAAACTATAGTTTGGATTATTATTTTCACTTTATTTATTACAGATTATCGTTTGGGAATTTCTCTGTTCAGCTATTTCAATATAGAATATTATCCGCTATGGGTTTATCCTGCCTTATTAATGGCTATTGAGTTTTCCCTTTTATTCATTCCAAGTAAAACATTCACTTACGAGTACAGAAAAGCCATATTTTACTCGATACTGGAAGTCTTTAGTCATGGGATTATACCAAAAGTTGTAAATGTTACTCTTAGAGCTAATATTGTTGGTGATATTTTTACAACACTTTCGAAACCATTTGGCGACGTAGAATACACCATTACATTTTTTGTATTTGTAATTAAGAATAAGGGTGATGTACTCCCAACTTCTCTATTTAACTTCTTATCTAATTATAGATGGATGCAGACTATTGCATTGGCTCTCCCTTATGAGATAAGATTTTTTCAATGTGGTATGAGATACTTGACTGATGAGTCACCTAGTAGAAGAAACCATCTCTTTAATATGGGTAAGTACACAACTGGTTTGGCAATTGCAATAGTCGCTACCGTCCCCTGGACAACTGTAACATCGATGTCTCCCTTCATAGCTAGACTTTTATGGTTTGTCTGCTATATCACAGGTACAATTTATATGTTTATTTGGGATATTTATATGGACTGGGGACTAATGAAAGAAAGGTCTTCGTTTCTTCGCTCTAAATCTATTTATCCTAGTTGGTACTACTTCTTGGTTGCATTTTATAACTTGATTGGTCGTTTAACCTGGGCGATTACTCTAATCCCTATAACAATTATCGATGACATACAAATCAATGCCGCACTAATTAATTTGTTTGTGGCAACAATAGAAGTTTTTAGAAGAACGCTTTGGTGTACAATAAGACTTGAGTGGGAGCAAGTACATTTGAACTCAAAACAGCCTGCAAACTTGTGGGTAAGCTCAAATAAAAACAAATTATCATATTAGTTACATTTTTTATAATTATTTTAACTATTTAATACTATTTGCGTTGTTTTAAATTAAGGGCCCATTGTTTTTAGAACTAAGTGTATTTCTGTCATGAAACTTGTTTTTGGTCTTAAGGGATCGAAAATATGAGGAGGTATTGCAATTCTCTTCTTGCAAATTAGTCCAAAAATCGCTACGAACCACCAAGTAACACTAGTTATAATAAGTGTAGTTTGCAGGCCTGATGAGTTGCATTCAGGTAAAAGGCTTATTTGCGCAAAAAGAGTGTTAATTTGGCAAAATGTAAATACATGAATTAACCTGATCCATGTGGGAAGATATTTAACAATCACGCCCATTGCCTGAATTGAAAACGTTAAGTTATCAAATGTCTGGCATGTACTGTATATGTAATTATTTAGTATCAATATTCATTCTTATTTAACTTACGATTCAACAACTGAATATGCAATACACATTGAAATGAATGAAAGCCCTTCAACTACCCATAATGAGACAATACCAATTACATTAGATGAGGCTGAACAAACTGCCTGATTGTTTATTTTAGGCGAATAATTCGAGAAAGATGAATTAAGTACGATTGCTCCAATTAGTAACGAAATGCCTGACCAAAAAAAATATGATACAAAGCTAAAAAGATTTGTTAAAGTTAAATATTTCAGAGCTAAAACTTACGAGATTCCTGCTAAATTATTCAAAAGGAAATAAAATGAATTTGAAATGCTCGCATTATTTGAGTCGTTTTCCATAGTCTTCTATTTCAAAGTATTGAATAAAGGTAGCTCCAATACATGTTAAAAATTTGTTTGCAGCGCCAAACATTAAGATTTTATCTTTTTATTGAAAAATGAAGATAAATATTATAGAATGGGAAGGTAGGTTTACAGATTCAGTTGTAACAGGATTATTTAGACGTCAAATACAAAAATCAATTTTCTCGGCCTTAAATTTTATAGATCATAATTTATATATATACAACGATAAGGATGAACTAGTACGTGAAAAAACGGTCATTCCTGGAGACAAAATTCAAACTGAACCGAATTACATAAGGTAAGTTAATCTAAAATCCTATAAATATAATAATATGATATCAGAGGGCATGGAACACTCGAAGACAAGTGCTCCAGATTAATTTCTACAGCATGTGGATATCTTGAAAGTCTAAACAAATTAATATACACTAAACCTTTGGGTGGTAGATACAATGCTGAAGTCGGAGATATTGTAGTTGGAAGGGTTGCAGAAGTAAGTTAAAATTATTCTTTTGAGTATATTTAATTCATATAGGTATCAAATAAGAAGTGGTTAATAGATATATGTTCAACTCAATTTGCACAATTATCTCTGGCAGCAATTAGTCTTCCAGGGTCTATCCAAAGGAGAAGAACAGAAGAAGACTCATTGTATATGAAGTCTATCTTAGATGAGGGTGATGTGATTTGTACAGAGGTGCAGCGAGTCCAAAGTGAAGGTATTTGCCATCTTCACACTAGAAGTGCAAAGTATGGAAAGTTAGCAAATGGAATGGTCGTAAAAGTACCTAATAAGCTAATACAAAGGCAAGCTCAACACATTGTCAAGCTTAAATATGGAATACAACTTATTCTAGGACTAAATGGCTATGTTTGGATATCTCTTCCATTTGAGCATTCGCATACTGATACTCTTAACTACTCGTCTTCATCTGTAAAACCAGAAATTGTGAACTCAAATATCAGGAAATCAATTGTGATGTTGGCATTTATTATCAAACTTTTTGGTTTAAAAAATATGCAAATAACTCCTGAGCGAATCTGTAAAGTATTCGATCGTTTTACTGAATTACATTTATCATATAAGTAAGTTTAATTGAATAGGTTTAGTAAACTTTAACTCAATCTAGAAATATCCAAACCTTAGATCATTCAAAAATTGCTTTAAATGCATTATTCGAATAGAATATTAATTTTTCACAGCAAATAGAAAAGATATTTTTATAGGAAAATTTATTAAATGCGATCTTTATCAAAACTCAAGTTTAAAACTTTGAGAAGGGCTCACTCTCTGGATAAAAGGGGATGAAACCCCTCCTAAATATCTATGGCCTTGAACCTGGCTATTAAAAAAGTGGTGATAATTGTTTGTAATAGGCTGGGAAATAAAGCTATTATTCGTAGGAAAAATTGATGGATTTATCGGCAATGACATTTTTTGTGGGAAAAATCGCACTCCTGCGTTTACATGAGTAAAAATCTGATTTGGTAATTGTTGAAGTACTGGAGGTTGATATCCAAATGAGTGCTGATACGCATTAAATGAATTCGATCCTAAAACAGAATTTTTAACGTGATCTTGAGTAGATAGAGAAGCAGGAGGAGTTACTAGTTCACCGCTTTCACCCTCTATCTGTATAGAAAAGTATTTACCTTTTACCCACTGATCTATTAATGGAAGCACAGCAACAGATTCAAAAAGCATTTTTAATCTTGGGAACTTATGAATTAATGATTCTTCTGGTAACAAAGACGTCCTATTAAACTTCTCTCCTTCATTAAATTCGATCAGAGAAATATCATCGA